TTTGAGCCCAGTTTGGGACCTGGTAGGTTCAGCGACGGCCGCATTGCCGAAATCAGCCCAGCATGCACTCATGGCAGCAACAATATCATTGGAGGCAAGATAACGCCAAAGAATGGCAGTGTAGCTCCAGGTCATGGCTGAGTCCGGGTACCTGATGGCAAAGGCGGTGGCGCTTTGGTTACAGCAGTGTGTGGAGACTCGGGGTATCTGTGTGTTTACAGACTGAGGGATGGACTTTGTGACACAGTTTTTCTGGCAGTGAGGACACATGATAGAGACAGGGGAGTCATCTGGGCATTTCCTTTTGGCTGTTTCTTTTATTTCCGCTTCTGTTTTTAATCCCGTCTTGTGTATACTAAGATGGCGCCATGGAATGGCACATTTGTATACTCAATACAGCGTGGAGCTGGAGGAACACAGCAGATCAGGCAGCATCGGAGGAGCAGGAGACTCGATGTTTCGGGCCTAGACCCTTCTTCAGGACTAGGCTGATGAAGGGTCTAGGCCCGAAACATCGACTCTCCTGCTCCTCTAATGCTGCCTGACCTGCTGTGTTCCTCCAGCTCCACACTATATTGAATCCGACTCCAGCAGCTGCAGCTCTTGCTATCTCCGACTTGACTTTTCACTGTACTCCTGTACCCGAGTACGTGACAATAAAATCTAAATCTGATGTCAAAAGCAGTCGTTCTCACCTCACCTGGAATTCAGCTCTTTTGTCCTTGTTTGAGACAAGTCTGTATCGAGGTCAGGAGCTGAGTATCCCTTGTGGAACCCAAACTGGGTATCACTGGGCAGGTTACTGCTGAGCAGGTGCTGCTTCATAGCAGTATTGATGACACCTTCCATCATTTTACTGATGATTGAGAGTAGACCGACATGCAGTATTTGGCTAGGTTGGACATGTCTTCTTTTCATGCATATAGGTCATACTTGGGTAATTTTCCACATTGTCGAGTGGATGCCAGCAATGTAGCTGTAATGGAACAGTTTAGCCAGGGAAGCGGCAAGCTCTGGTCTTCAGTACTATTGCTAGAATGTTGCCTGTGATATCCAGTGTCTCCAATCATTGCTTGATATCACGTAGAGTGAATCAAACTAGCTGAAGACAACGTTTGTAATGTTGGATACATCCAGAGAAGGCCGAGATAGATCATCCCCTCGGCACTTCTGCCTGTAGATTGTCACAAATTCCTCAGCCTTATCTTTTGCACTGATGTACTGGACTCTCCCCCATCACAGGAGACGGGGATCTTTACAGAGTCTTGTCCCCCAGCGAGTTGTTTAATTGTTCACCACCTTTCACAACTAGATGTGGCAGGACTGCAGAACTTAGATGTGATCATTTGATTGTGGAATTGCTTAGGTTTATCTATTGCTTGCTGCTTACGCTGTTTGGCACACAAGTAGTTCTGTATCATAGCTTCACCAAGTTGACACCTAATTTTTAAATATATCTGGCTAAATTTGTGTTTTTACTTCTCTGGATGTCTTTTTTTTTAAAGAGTTCTTCTTGCTCTTGCAATTTCAAGTACCTTTTCATTTTCCTTATGGCCTATATATGGAATCTTCAGCATACATCTTAAAATCTATATTTCAAAAGACTTTATTTCCTTCTGCAGATCATTACTTATTGTCCATTGTGTAGGTGTACAGGAAAGTGGATAGAAAACAGTATTTAATGATATTTACTCTCATTAAAAATATGGGTTTTCTTGTTGTTGGTTATCTCAATATTATTTCCAACTTCTGCATTGACTTTGCCATCGTGTCCTAAATGAGGTCAGAAGTCACATGACACCAGGTAATAGTCACTTCACCTGACGAACAAACAACGCTCCAAAAGCTTGTGATTTCAAATAAATCTGTTGACTATAACCTAGTGTCGTGTGACTTCTGACCTTGTCCGCTCCAGTCCAAGAGTGGCACCTGCATGTCGGGTCCTAAATAGGTAAACGTATCTCCTTGTTCCAGTGTGACAAAATCCACTTCAATCTTTACTCTAGTTCCTTCTAACACATTTCTTCTTTGTGTTATCATTTTTATCTTTTTGTTGTTTATACTCAATCCATATTTTAAACTATTTAACAGAAGATACAAGGGATCAGTTTAAAGTTCCTGATTGACCTCTAAAAGAGTATTGATGATTAAGGTTGAAGGAAAGATTTTTGATCTGGTTGACATACAAGTTTATGCTCTGAATGAAGATCACAGAGCAGGGAATGGAGGCATTTTATGGTGACATCCCTAAGTGTTATGATCAATAAACTATTTGCTAATTGTAATATTTAAACTTGTAAAGGTGCACCAGGATAGCATGTACATTACAGCATTAGATCAAAAAATGAGAGAATAATACAATTTTGTCAAAAGATCTAATGGTGGCAAACACATTTTTTACGCAATGAGAAAGACGGAGCTTCAAGAGCTCCAGACGGAGCATTTAAAAATCAATAAATTACGTGATTGTGAAATAACATTTTAGAAACAGTATAAAGAACACACATATGCATCTGCTGTAGATATTAATTCAGATCATTGTCACCTTACGGCAAAAATTAAATGAAAGTGAAGAGATCAAAAATAAGAAAATGATATGTAGCTATTTAGATGTTAACAAACTGAAGGGCGAAAACAGGTGTATTCATTCCTTAAATAAAGGCACAAATCTTAATGTTTTGGGATAAAGGATGCAAACAGAGAGAACGCGTAGAACAAAAACTATAAAGCAAATGGAAAAGCACAAGAAACAGTTATACAAAAAAATGGAAAGGAAATATTAACAAAAAAGTAAAGAAAGGACAAGGTGACAGATGACAGACTGACAATGATGATAGAAAAAAGAAAACAAACAAATCTGAGTTGATTACACTGAAATGAACAAAGAATGCACACAAGTAGCTACTGTAGGTCTACTGGAATGTTATTAAATCTTGAAAAAGATCATAAAAACAAGAGTTATGTCCCAGAAGGTGAAGTATTTCATAGAAATATAAAAGGGACAAGGAGAGATAGTGAGTGCATAAAATACAAAGATGATAAAGTATTACTTGAAAGGGATACAATAACAAAATAATGACACAATGTATAAGTGAATTGTGGATATTGTATGATGCTCAAAACTAAGCGAGTCCTCAAGACAGAAGCAAATGATGGACCAAACATTACGACATCAGAGCTAACGAATGCTTTGTCCTTGATGAGTACAGGAAAAGTTCTAGGAATAGATGAAGCCAGGGCCAGAAGAGAAGGTGACAGTCTAATGGTATTATCACTAGACTATTAATCAAGAGACCCAGTTAATGTTCTAGAAACTTGGGTTTAAATCCCACCACAACAGATGGTGGAATTTGAATTCAATAAATATCTGGAATTAGGAATCTAATGACGATCATGAAACCATTGTCGATTGTTGGAAAAACCCATCTGGTTCACTAATGTCCTTTAGCGAAGGAAGCTACCATCTTTACCTGGTCTGACATACGAATAAATCCAGACTCACAGCAATGTAGTTGACACTTAACTGACCTCTGGGCAACTAGGGATTGGTAATTAACGTTGGCCTGCCTGGTGAAACCCACATGTTGTGAACGAAAACATGCTAAAAGCCTTTGGTGAAACAGAATTAGAAATGATAACAGAAATTTCTGATCAAAAATATACAAAGGGTACATTCCAAATGTCTTCAGACATTCATTACTCATTAAATTACATTAGAAACCTAAATAAATTGATTGCAAACTTTTTAGAATGATAATGTTAATGAGTCACCTTTTAAAGCAATTTAGAAAATCATAATAGAAAGTATTTATGACACGTTTGAAGTAGTAATTGATGAAACAGAGTCTGGATTTAGACTTGGAGAAGGAATAACAAAAGGGCATTTATCCAAACAATAATCTTTGATAAATATTTCAGAATGAACAAGACACATTTCAAATGAAGAGAGAAGTACTACATATCATGTTATTATTACCAAAAATTACTCAGGTTAAACTCCACATCAGTCAATTGTTGCGCTCAGTCTCTCCCTCTGTCTCTCTCACACACACACACACACACACACACACACACACACAGAGAGAGAGAGAGGGAGAGAGAGACAGCACCTCATGGAACTCGGACTGTTGCAACTTTTTTTTTTAAAGCCGCAATTGCGATTTCAGTTTTCATTAGAGAAAGCCATTGCAACAACCAACTTCATGAATTGAAGGTTTGACCACTGATTGAGTTGGGTCAGAACCTACACTCTGTTTGTAGCTGGATGCCAAGTCAACATGTGCATGTTGAAACACACATTACCCATATGGCAGCAACACAGCTATGAAATTGGAAGATTTAGAATCCAAAAAGAGTGGAAACGATACCACTGCTGCCACAGAATTCGTCATTTATCTCGCTAGCATTCTCTGATGTGTTTTTCCATTCTCTAGATGTTTCTTGCATCATAAGCTCTCTTACACTGGAACCCCTGGTTAGATTGTACAGTGATGTGCAGTCAGAAAATTCATCTCCAGTGCAACCCTACATGATGCAAGAGAGTAACTATCATCCTTAATCCTCATAAGGGCAAACCACACTCAGGACAGCAGCATAACTATCAGCCTTGATCCCACAGTGCGATTCAATTCTGATTCATCTGTGACTTTCTTCTCTCCAGCCAGAATGGACTAAATAACCCTCCTTTGCCCACCCCATATTTACCTTCCTCATTGTCCTCTCTCTCCCTTCCACCTTACACTGAAATCTAACTCCTCTCTTTCCTCCCCATCTTTGCCTAGACCCACCGTCTCCCTCTCCCCTCCTCGCTCAGTCCCACCATCTCCCTCCCCCTTGCCCCCACCCACTCCATCTCTTTCTTCCCTCTTCCTCACAACCTCTGTCTCCCACTCCTCTCCATCTCTATCGCCCCTGCTCACCCACTGTCTCCTTCACCCTCTCTGTCTCACTATCCCCCTCACCCACTCTTTCTCTCTCTTCTAGTTCAAACTCTGTCTTACCTCAGCAGCCTTCCTGTGATCATCGTCATTCTCCAGAATCTTCACATCTACTCCAAGACAACGCAGGTACCGGCCCAGCCCCTGCAACATGTTGTCACAGACAACATTGAATTCGGAGGGTGATAAAGGAGGGTAGGATGATGTCTTTAATGAGTTTGGCTGCGGGGTCTGTGCACACTGTGAAAAGAAAGAGGAACAAACTATGGCTTGGAAGAAGCTCACAATATCAGAGAGACATATTAATCTTCAGAAAGGGTGCATTTACTAAAAATTACCTCCACTTTGACACCTGCCATAACCTGCTCCCTGAACCCACAGAGCCCTGGTTCCGACACAGCGATAGCCTATTCGGCAGCAAAACCAGTTATTTCAATTTCGGTGACATGACCAGCAGCAACATGCCATCTCAGAAATATGCACCAATTTCCCTCCATATCATGCCCCTGCTGAATCTGCTTACCATTTCTCCACAGAACCCTGCACCCTTTACCCCTCCCCATTCCTGTGCTTACAAAATCATTGCAGTCAGCTCTGACACTGAACTCCTTAGAACATCTTATTGAATTCAGTCGTTCCTTTCATCAGTGCTCCCATTGCCTCCGGTCACACTCAAATCTTCTAAATTGTTGAGGAGTTGTATATGCACGTGCTACTACCCACCTGAAAGGGTAAGGTCGGACTGCTCTTGTTTTTCTTTTCTTTCATTCCCCTCGCCTTCTTCTCCATTTTGAACATGAAAAATTCTTCAAAGCTGCAGCTCAAGCCAAAGCGTTGTGGGTCCCAACGTAGGGCATCATATACATCCAGCAGGCAGTAGGCATCAGATGCTGCAGAATGCACAACAATATTTATTTCTGTTTCGCCAGTGATTTCTTCTCACTTCAAGAGAAGTTACAGGTCCCACACACACTGACTCTCACTGGGGTGCAGTTCCATGCACTGACTTCACAATAGGATACAGACCCACACACACTGACTCACACTGTGATGCAGGTGGACGGGCACTGGCTCTACCTGGGGTACACTTGAACACACACTGATTCTCAGATGCACAAACACTGACTCTCACTGGGATAGAGTTCCATATGCACTCTCTCTCCTTGGACTACAGTTCCACACACACTGACCCACACTGGGATACAATCCCACCCACAGCTGACTCTCAAATGGAGTACAATCCATACACACTGACTCACACCGGGTTACGGTCTCACACAAACTGAGTCTCACTGGGTTACAGTTCCACCTATGCTGACTTTCACCGGGTACAGTTCCACACACAGTGACTCTCACCAGGGTACGGGTCCGCATGCATTGAGCTCACACACAGGTCTAGGCTATGGGAAATGGAAGAAAATAAAGTTTGGCAGCAAACCTGTGAACACTAAGGCCTCAAAAACAAAATATGGAGTCGGATTTGGATTTATGATCTTGACACTCAGAGGGATGTGACACATTGAGCCAGAGCTATTAACACTGAGACTGAACCCTGACAGACTGCCTGGACTTGTGTTGACCATTCCCAAGTTCTAATTGTTCAAAGATCTTTCTCATGTCAGAACATTAGAACTGAAATCTGAGACGTGAAGAAGTACAAGAGGTTTGTCAGCACAAACTCCAACTGCCGGTGTGAGCATTTTGCATAAGGTCTGGGTAACAGTGGCACAGTGAGCTTACCAGGAGCTGCTCACCTGCATAAATGACCTGCTGGGGCCGGAGAGGCCGCTTCTCCCAGTTAGATAGCTGCTCCGTTTTATCCAGTGATTTCCCCAGCACACACTGCACAAGGAGACTAAGCCCCTTTTCACCATGGCTGTTCCCAGAGTTTACACCATCCTCTGACATTAGCACTTCCACACCCCTGCTTTTGTCCTGTCTTCGACATGGCATTTTCTGCAGCTGAGCATATTTCATTCATTGAGAGAGGATTCTCAGTTTAATTCGATACAAGCTCAGATCTGATTCTTCTGAGTGCAGTAATCGAGAAGTCCAAATGGTGCAAAAACACAGTAATCAAAACGTAATGCAGGGGTTATTCACATCAGCATTATACAACTGAGAGGTAAAGAGCAAGGAGATAAAATTAATCAGATCTGCATCTTAAGAGGAGAAACTATTCAAACATGGAGTGTGGCTAGGAACCTTCAGTCAGTTTGAAAAAAAATGCATGAAGTATTGACAGATGCTGGAAGATTTCCCTAGCTTGGAGCTGGGGCAAGAAAACTACAGTCTAACCCTCCTAATGGGTGACATTTCATTTATTAGAGGTTTCTTGAGTAGCAAAATGGAAGGGAAGCAACCCATTGGGAGCTGGAATCAATTATCAAATATTTTTTATGACATTTATGACCCCCCACATTGTTTGTCTCTCGTTTAAAATTTGTTACTTACCCACAAAAGGGCAATTAGTCATTAGAGATTTTTATTCATTTGATATAGTAAAGGTTTTGTAAAATGTGAAATCTTGATGTGTCACTCTTTGAGCTAACCACCACCACTCCCAGAAGCTTAAGTTTTGTTCTAAAGGTTATTGGTATCTCCTGAAAATTTACACATTAACACTTTAGCACAGTGGCTAGCACCGCTGCCTCACAGCACAGGGACTCGGGTTAAATTCAACCCCTGGGCGACTGTCTGTGCAGGGCATCTGGAGGAAATGCAGACAGGAAGAACATGCAAACTCACACAGACAAGTCACCCAAGGTTAGAATCAAACCCGGATCCATGGCGCTGTGAGGCAGCAGTACTAACCACTGAGCCACCATGCTGCCCCATGTGGAGATGGCAAGAGATTAAGCCTCTAACAACATAATCTCGCTCTCATGCATTACGTATTTGATGCTGATAAAAGAAAACTCTCATTCCTGAAAGATAGTAAGAACTGCCAATGCTGGAGTCAGAGATAACACAGTGTGGAGCTGGAGGAGCACAGCAGGCCAGGCAGCATCGGAGGAGCAGGAAAGTTGACATTTCGGGTTGGGACCCTTTTTCTGAAAAAGCATCAACTTTTCTGCTCCTCTGACGCTGCCTGTCTTGCTGTGTTCCTCCAGCTCCACATTGTGTTATCTCATTCCTGAAACCCATTCAAGGATTTTAGATCTCAAGTAGACTGTTATAAAAACAATTTTTTATTCACCAATCACGAAGACATTTAATCCTTTAATATCCTCTCAAATCGCAATTAAAATGTGAATGTGGGCCCTCAACAAAGGAAACTCAACCATACATTAAAAATGGGCTCAGATCTAACGACAGTCCCCTGGTGCCTATAGAAACTGCTACGTCAGATAGTCTGTCAGTCAATGCAGCATGGCTTTTATCCTAACTAACAGCTACAGACTATTAAAAGCATTTGGAATTTGAATAACTGTAAATCATAACACTTAGACCTTATCTGCACTTGAAGAATGAGGAGAATAATGGAAGCTGGAATTCTAGCATGGAATCTAATGGGAACTGGGTATCCAGCAGGGAGTACTTAGCAATTACAACTGCAAAAGGGAAAAGAATAGGTGATGGGGAGGATTTCAATTGAAACTGAGACTAGGAGCAGGCGGCTTTCAAGCCTTTAGACATAGATCAGCATTGACATTGCCAGGGGCAGTTGGACAGCCCTCACAATCAAGAGCTCGAGGGGCTAAAAGGAAGAACATTACCAAAATAAAACTCCAATCTAAACAATAGTTCCAAGCTGCAGACCAGTAACAAACCTCTTTGTGCACATTTAAAAGGTCCAATACTCCCGCAGTGGGCTGCACCACATCTTTTAACATGGGGTAGGCTATAGACAGAGTCCGCAAATCCCCTGTTGTAGCATAACCTGTAAAAATAAACAAGTGTTCACGACAAGATAACAAACCATTTCTAAACAGCATGTAGAGGCATGAACTCGAAAACTAAGGCTCTTCTGAGCTGTCAGTGGGTATCTGGTTCTGGGATGAATCAGAGTTAGGTAAAAGTGTCAATTATGCAGCTATTCTAGATCATAAGACCAACTGTCCAAAGTCTGCACCTACTGAACAGGGAGATAATGGGGCCCAACAAAGCATCTGAGCAAGGCAAGTTGAATGGAGGTATCTTCCTTTCAATGCCGTGATGGATTAGGGGCGCACTCTCACATACACAGCAACATTACTCCAGTAGGCAGCGCAATGGAGCTGGGACTTCAGAAGGGAGTATATTGAACTGCATTTCTAACATAGAATCCAATGGAAACAGAGTCTCTAGTGGGGAGCGTGACAGCAATAAGGACTCCAGAATGAGCTATGAGGAGGATAGGAATGGGAACTGGAATTCCAGGCAGGAGTACAATATGAACTGAAATTCCATAGGTGAGTGCAATGGGAATTGGAATTCATGTGGAAAGTGTAATTGGAACTGGAATTCCATGGGGAGTATAATGGGAACTGAAATTTAAGAAGGGAGTGTAATGGGAACAGGAATTCCAGTGAGGAGTGTAATTGGGACTGGTTGCCAGCTGGTAGTCAACATGGCTTTGTGAAGGGCAGGTCATGCCTTACAAACCTTATTGAATTCTTTGAGGATGTAACAAAACACATTGATGAAGGCAGAGCAGTGGCTGTGGTGTATATGGATTTTAGCAAGGTGTTTGATAAGGTTTCACATGGTAGGCTCATTCAGAAAGTAAGGAGGCATGGGGTTCAGGGAAATTTGGCTGTCTGGATACAAACTGGCTGTCCAATAGAAGACAGAAGGTGGTAGAAGATGGAAAGTATTCAGCCTGGAGCTCGGTGACCAGTGGTGTTCCACAGGGTTCTGTTCTGGGACCTCTGCTCTTTGCGATCTTTATAAATGACTTGGATGAGGAAGTGGAAGGGTGGGTTTACCGATGACATGAAGGTTAGTGGAGGGCTGCTGTAGGTTGCAAAGGGACATTGACAGGATGCAGAGCTGGGCAAAGAAGTGGCAGATGGAATTCAACCCAGAAAAGTACGAAGTGATTCATTTTGGAAGATTGAGTTTGAATGCAGAATACGTGGTGAATGGCAGGATTCTTGGCAGTGTGGAGGAACAGAGGGATCTTGGAGTCCACGTCCATAGATTCCTCAAAGTTGCCACCCAAGTCAATAGGGTTGTAAAGAACGCGTATGGTGTGTTGGCTTTCATCGGCAGGGGAATTGAGTTTAAGAACCGCGAGATTATGCTGCAGCTCTGTAAAACTCTGGTTAGACCACACTTGGAATATTGTGTTCAGTTCTGGTCACCTCATTATAGAAAAGATGTGGAAGCTTTAGAGAGGGTGCAGAGGAGATTTACCAGGACGCCTGGACTGGAGGACAGGTCTTATGAGGAAAGGTTGAGGGAGCTAGGGCTTTTATCATTGGAGCGAAGATGGATGAGAGGCTACTTGATAGAGGTGTACAAGATGATGAGAGGCATAGATTGGATAGTCAGAGACTTTTTTCCCAGGGCAGAAATGACTATTACGAGGGGGCATAATTTTAAGGTGATTGGAAGAAGGTATAGGGGAGATATCAGAGGTAGGTTCTTAACACAGAGAGTGGTGGGCATGTGGAACGCGCCGGCAGTGGTAGTGGAGTCAGATATTTTAGAGACTTTTAAGCGACTCTTGGATAGGCACATGGAGCATAGTAAAATGTGGAGTATGCAGGGTAGTTTGATCTTATAGGAATATAGGTTGGCACAACATTGTGGGCCGAAGGGCCTGTACTGTGCTGTACTGTTCTATGTTCTATGTTTTTTAGTAGAATAAAAACACATTCTTAGACATTCTCTATTTATGGTTAATATTTACCTAGTTTAGTTATGGTTTGATCGGTGAACAAAGTCTGAATGAATTGGGTAAGTTCAGATCGCCGACACTCAGATTCAGACTGATTTACAAGCTGAGGCAAGTCCAGAAGGTACACACAGTCTTTCATCGCAATCTGTATGAGAGACACTCGTGAACGGGTTAACACCCCAAATGTGGGCCTCCACTCCATATCGATCCCTAGAATGCCACCAGCCTACAAGAGAGACACAAAATTCACCACAGTCACAAAATCTGAGGCAGCATTATGTACTCAGATATAGCAGCATCACTGCTTCACCAAATACACAGTCTGTGCCAAGTTTTTTGATCTCACCCAAGGCGATAATAGATTGCTGTCATTGTCCACAGTGCGTCTCAGTTAAATGGAGGAATGTGAAGTGTTGTATTTTGGAAAGTCAAACCAGGGTAGGAGTTTCATGGTGAATGGTAGTGCCTTAAGGAGTGTAGTGGAACAGAGGGATCTTGAAGTCCTCTGAAAGTGGAGTCACAGGTAGACAGGGCAGTGAAGAAGGCTTTTGGCACACTGGCCTTCATCAGTCAGGGTTATGAGTGTAGAAGTTGGGAACTTATGTTGTAGTTGTACAGGACATTGGTGAGGCCGCACTTGGAGTATTGTCACCTTGCTATAGGATGGATGTTATTAAACTGGAAAGAGTGGAGAAGAAATTTACAAGGCTGTTGCCAGGACACAAAGGACTGAGTTATAGGGAGAGGTTGGACAAGCTAGGACTTGTTTCTTTAGAGTGTAGGAGACAGAAGGGGTATCTTATAGAAGTGTATAAGATCATGAGATGTATGAATAGGGTGAATACATTCAGTCTTTTTCCCAGAGTTGGGGAATCGATGACTATAGGGCGTCAGTTTACGGTAAGAAGGGAAAGAATACATGGGAACCTGAGGGGCAACTTTTTTTATAGAGGGTGGTATGCATACGGAATAAGCTGCCAGCGGAAGTGGTCCAGGCGGGGACATTAACAACATTTAAAACGCATTTGGACGAATACACGGACAGGAAAGGTTTAAAAGGATATGGGCCAAGTGCAGGGAATTGGGGTTAGTGTGAATGAACATTTTGGTCGGCATGGACCAGTTTGGGCTGAAGGGCCCATCTCAGTGCTGTAGGACTCTATGACTCTATGAAAGGAGGAGTGTTTCCTTTCCTGATCAACTGGTAATTCCAATTTGACCCTGCCTTGTAATCTTCTAATAACCCTCTGAATTCTCAAATAGGAACAAAGTCCTAAACATGTTGGAAATAAAAACAGAAGGTAGCAGTGAAACTAGCAGGCCTGAATTATTTATTATCATGTGTATGTTGTTACAAAATACAGAGAAAAGTGTTCATAGTGTTGTCACTCTCCAGCGCCACCTTAAAACACAGAAAAATAAACCAAAACATAGAACATAAAGTCAAAAAAATGAAGAAATAAAGAATAAGTATTCAAATTTATAGTCATTCTTGTTAACTGCTGGGCCACGGACCATGGGCCCGGTGGCCAGGCACGAGCCCCTTCGCCACCGCTGGAACGGAATGCATCGTTCTTCAGTACCATCTCGGCTTCACTGACACCCTCTCCACTATGAGTCCTCGATGAACCTCGTCAATGCAGATGCCACTGATGCTGTGAGGAATCGGCACAGGTCCAAACCCGACACCGACACCACTATGAGTCCGCTTCTGGCCGAACTCACTGATGCAGCCGCTGCTGATGCCGCATGGTCTCGCCCTGAGCCCGAACTCATCTCCGCCGCCACCTCCATGAATCTGCACCGAATGCAGATGCTGCCGGGAACGCAAATTCGCGTCCGCCACAGCAGACATGAGTCGCACTAGGACCGCCTCAATGACACAGAAGCCGCCAGGAAATCAAACTCGCATCTGACACCGTTGCCGCCACCACAAGTCCACTCTGCTGGGCCACTCGTCACGGGTACCGTCACTGCGACTGAGCTACTCAACAAGAGGTATGTTTAAAAAAATAAGAAAAACGAGAAAAGGGAGACAGAGAAAAAAAGAAACGGAAATGAAAGTGGATGGAGTGGATGAGCCTCGGGCTCAGAAGCCCTACTCCACCGCTATCTTACCGGATAACATCTTTAAAGGGAAACAGTGTTAATGTATTGAGTCCAATGACCCTGCTTTGGAACTTGAAAAGTTAACCCTATTTCCTTCTCGGCAGATGCTCCAGTCCTTGGGTTTCTCTGCCACCTTCTGTTTTATTACCCTCTAAACTCTTTCTAACATTCAATAAAACCTTTATTTGCGCAAAAAAATGTTTACTGAAGATGTTTCCTTAGAGTTAATCAAAGACTCCGCTCGTTTTGACCTTCTTCCAATGTCACAGCATTGTAGGGAGGTGATCTTTTAGCAACTCAGTTATATTAAGAATGTCTCCCATATCCATCCTGCTTGTGCAGTTTGAGGTAGATGGATTCCCATAGAAATCACTAGAGCCATCAATTACATTACAGATCAGCTATGATTCAACCACTGGGCAAAAGTGGCATGGCCCAGTTTCTGGGGACATAGAGCCAAATTCCACCATTGCAACTGCGGAATCAAAATTTAGGGTTGCACTAATATCTCTGAACAGGTCAATTCAAAAGTATCTTAAAATTGCAAACAAATGCGGCTGAGGACACAGACTACAAACCTGAGTATTTTATGAGCAGGAACTGGTTCTTGCTCTGCTCTAGGGAAAGGAGTTAGCTGGTTGGCAAGTATCTGGTAACTCATTAAGGTCTATTCTACACTTCAGGCTTAAAATAGCATACAAATTGGCGGTAAAGGTAATAAAATATATAAAAGTAATATACTTAGTATATTCACATAAAATACCTGCTGACCGTGAAGCTATCATAATTTTCATATCAGCCCATCCCCTCGAGAAGGAAATCTGTTGACCTTACCCAGTCTGATCTTCAAATGTCCCAAGATTGAAGACAATACAGTTCACTCTCAACTGCCTTCTAAAATGGCCTGGCAAACCACTCAGTTCAGGGGCAAATAAGGACTAGCAACCAAAGGTTGGCTTTTGATCCAGTGAAGCCCACAATTCAATCGATGGTTTTGAATACATACTTCTTTGTTTTATCAATGGCACATCCCCACAGTGTTGATGAGATAGAAAAGAATGAGAAATCAAAATACGTGGGAAAGGAGGGTGAAATTGACAAACACTGTAACAGTCCCAGGACATTTCTGTGTCTCCCCTGAGGTGTTCACTAACAGCAAGGATAGTACAAACATTCTGAGATGCTAACCTGTAATACACGGGCTGCACAGCTCTTCAACTGATCCAGATGGTCCAGGAAGTGAATATACTCTGTTGGAATCGGCAGCTGATAGTACAACTTCTTCTTGTTCTGTATCTCTTCTATACTCTCCTCCACAAAATGGTTCTCTAAACTTATCCTGTAACAGTAAGCACGTTCAGTTAAAACATAGGACTCGAAGGGCCAAATGGCCTCCTCCTGCTCCTATCTTCTTTGTTTCTATAGGACATAGATACCAGTGAAAGCAACAAAGGCTCACATCTCTCACATTCACACTGGAAAGAGACATGTCAATGTCACTCAACACACATATCTGATGGAAGCAGGGTCCTTCCTTTCAGTTAGTTTCAGTTTTTGCAGGTTCCCAGCACGATCACACTTTTATCTCTCAACTCCTCCACGCTACTAAGTTATCAGAGTGTTCATCATTCAGTGCTGAATGGGAAGTCATTTCTTCTAATTAAATACTGGAGAGACCAAAGCCATTGAATAAAGTCCTCACTCTAAATTCCATTTCCTTGTTACCATCTCTCTTCTTCACAACTGTTGAGACTAAACCAGACTCTTCACAACCTTGATATCATATCTAACATAGAGATGAGTTTTCAACCGCATATGTGCTATCATTAAACTTCCTATGCATATGTCAACAACACTGCCCTTGCAGTTCCCTCTACTTATGTGCTGCTGTCTTTCATGCCTTAAAACTTGACTATTCCAATGTACCTCAGAACAGCCTCCTAGATTCTGACCTCTACAAACTGAAGGTCATTTAAACCATATCCTTACTCGCACCAAGTCCCATTCACCTATCACCCTTGTATTTGCTGAGCTATGTCAATTCTCCAGAAAACTAACCGAAGAAGCGTATAAGCACGAGCATTTACTTAGAGTGACACATTACAAGCACACACCTCCTACCACAACGGCAGTCTATTTATAGGGACACAAATGAATTCCTAGTTACTGCCCCATCACCTCACCCTAATGGATACAATTAAACACAACTAATGTACAATTAACAGATTCCTTTCTCTCTCTAAATAAAAAGAAACAAAGCAAATTGAACCAAAAACTTCTATATTCTGTACAAAGCTATGAAACACCCCGGCTGTAGGACCCCCTAACAATTTCTTAATACATGCATCTTTTCTAATAAAACAATTGGACCATTGGTGACCACACATTTGATACAGCGTACATTATCCCACAATGATTCATTATCTACAGAAACATTCAATGGGTATATTGTCTTCAGTGCGCACAATGTAGAGAATCTCAATATAAATCATTAACAAATAGAATCCCAGACTTCTATAAAAGCTTCTACTTTCAGCAGCTAAAGTACAATTAACAAATATTTTTAATTTTCTTAACTTTCCAAATAGAATGACAAAACTTCCCATTCTCGCTATTTTGAAATTTGACAAAACCAGCTCTACTTGAACATCGACCAGGAAAATATACATGGAAAATACTGTTATAAATGACAAATTGTGTACTCTTTACATTACCGAAGGATGGAAATTTAACTATGTATTTTAGTAGATTTGTTTTCTCAATGCTTTATTTCCATGTAAAACATTCTCAACTTTAAGATTCATTAACACAGAACTAAACTGCACACAGCAAAATGAACAACCGACTCAGTTTGAGCATACAACCAGTTCAAATGACTAATCAAACTTCAAACTTCACAACTGCTGCATCTCTTAAAATGTAGGATGAATTTTCTGTGATGATTAAGCACAATTAGCTGGGAAGGGAGCAACATCACTAACCAGGATTGTTGATTTAAAGTTATTCCAGACCCACTTTAATACCAAATAGGTGGGAAACTAAGTTTCAGTGAAGCAGTAAGAAGGCTCCTTAAAATGGGAGCCTTTTTGCTTTCAGTGAGTAGGGGTCTCTCTCTGCATTGAGCAAACAGAAATTCTATATGGAAATAAGGAAGATGAAGAGGTCATTTAGTTCCTCAAGCCTCTTCTACCTTTACATTAGATCATGGCTGATTTGTACCTGAACTCTATCTGCCATTTCGCTCCATTTCCAATGAAACACTTCTATCCAAACAAAATCTACCAACCTCACTCTTACTAATTTTAATTTACTGCCAATATCCACAACCTTTTAGGGGAGAGTTCCCAATTTCCTGCATGTGATTTCACCTTTCAATGGCCTAGCAATTTATTTCAGACTGCGCTCCCCAGCATGACTCAATTAGGAATAGTCTGTGGATAATCAAGCACCACTGTTCCATCAACTGTCACAACTGTCTATATAAAAACCAAAAGAACTCCAGATGCTGTGAATCAGGAACAAAAATAAAGTCGCTGGAAAAGCTCAGCAAGTCTGGCAGCATTTGTGAAGGAAAAAAGAATTAACGTTTCGGGTCCGGTGACCCTTACTCAGAACTGAGGAAGGACTGAGGAAGGGTCACCGACCCGAAACGTTAACTCTTTTTTTCCTTCACAGATGCTGCCAGACCTACTGAGCTTTTCCAGCATCTTTGTTTTTGTCACAAATGTCCAACTACCCAATTAAACGTACAAGATGATCAATTTGCCTGATAGACTGCCAATTGCTAATAAATGTAATTCTCACCACGATTCATCATTAACAGGAAAATAACTACTTATTATAAATAAGACCTTCTTCAACAAGTTCAAAAAGTGGATTACTAATTAACTATTGAGATATAAATAAATACCTTTAAATCACACGTTCCCTCCTCCATAACCACACACATTCAGTCACAAATAAAACTGACGAACTAGATGATTTGATCCAAATATTATGGATGGAAAAAAAATAGACAAGGAAATGATTTCAGAAGTCTGGACCACAAGGTGGGAAGTTATTTCCCGAAGTTCTTTTGACTTTAACAATAATGATGCGATGTTGTCAGCGAAGCAATGATTGATCTTTGTTTCGGAACCTGATCGGATGGGCCTAGGTCTTTTCTTGTATTAGAATTCTTTGTTGAGTGTCCTTTCAATCACAGACAGTGAAGGGATAGACAGCAAGCGAGAGAGCACACAAGAGAGACAGCACGAGAGACATTCTCTGTTTGCAGGCTGGATGTCTCTTGCTACACTGTGCTCCCTGGTCTGGAACAGACAGCAGGAAGTATAGACAGAGTCAATGGATGGAAAGCTGGTTTGTATGATGGACTGGACTGCTTTCACAACTCTCTAATTTCTTGCAGTCTCGAATATAGCAGTTGCCATGTCAAGCTGTGATACATCTGAATAGTGATAGTAGGAACTGCCGATGCTGAAAAATCTGAGATAACAAGGTATAGAGCTGGATGAACACAGCAGGCCAAGCAGCATCAGAGGAGCAGGAAAGCTGACGTTTCGGGTCTAGACCCTTCTTCAAAATTTTCTGAAGGGTCTAGACCTGAAATGTCAGCTTTCCTGCTCCTCTGGTCCTGCTTGGCCTGCTGCGTTCATCCAGCTCGACACCATACATCTGAATAGGACGCTTTCTATGGGGCATATGTAAAGGTTGGTAAGAATCATTCTGAACATGGCAAATTTCTTTAGTTTAGGGTGGCATGGTGGCTCAGTGGCTAGCACTACTGCCTCACAGCGCCAGGGACCCAAGTTCAATTCCAGCCTTGGGTGACGGTCTGTGTGGAATTTGCACATTCTCCCCACGTCTGCGCGGGTTTCCACCAGGTTCTCCAGTTTCCTTTCACAGCCCAAGGATGTGCAGGTTAGGTGGACTGACCATGGTAACTTGCCCATAGTATTCAGGGATGTGCAGGCTAGGTTGGTTAGTCATGGGAAATGCAGGGTTACTGGGATAGGGTAGGGAGATGGGTCTGGGTAGGATGTTCTTCGGAGAGTCGGTTTTGGGCCAAATAGCCTGTTACAACACTGTAGTGATTCTATTATTCTGAGAAAGTAGAGATGTGGTGGGCCAGGACAGATTGTTGGTGATATTTACTCCTAGGAACTTGAAGCTCTCAACCATCTCCGCCTCAGCACCACTGATACAGATAGGGGTGTGTCCTCCATTCCGCTTCCTGAAGTCGATGACCAGCTCCTTTGTTTTGCTGATAGTGAGGGAGAGACTGTTGTCTTTACACCATGCCACTAAGCTCTCTATCTCTTTCCTGTACTCTGTCTCATCATTGCCTGAGATCTGACCTACTATGGTGGTGTCATCAATAAATTTGTAAATGGAGTTAGAACAGAATTTGGCCGCACAGTCATGAGCATACAAGGAGTATAGTAAGGTGCTACGTACACAGCCTTGCAGGTGCTGGTGTTGAGGATTATCGTGGAAGAGCTGTTGTCTCCTATCCCTACTGAATGCAGCCTGTGGGTCAGGAAGTCAAGGATAGCGTTGCAGGGGGAGCAGTCCCCTAGATCTTGGAGTTTGGAGATGAGTTTGGTTGGAATTATGGGGCTGAAGGTGGAGCTAAAGTCAATAAATAAGAGTCTGATGTAGACGTCCTTGTTAGCAAAATATTCCAGTGATGACTGTAGAGACAGGGAGATGGCATCTGCCATACACTTGTTGCGGCAGTAGGTGAATTGTAGAGGATCAATGCAATCTGGGAGGCTGGAGTTGATGTGTTCCATTACTAACCTCTCAAAACATTTCATAGTGATGGATGTCAGAGCCATCGAGCAGTAGTCACTAAGGCCTACTGCCTGATTTTCCTTTGGCCAGAAATCACATGACACCAGTTTATAGTTCAACAGGTTCATTTGTAAACACAAGCTTTCAAAGCCTCAGTCCTTCTTCAAGAACACCTGAAGGAGGACTGAGGCTCCAAAAGGTTGTGTTTTCAAATGAACCTGTTGGGCTATAACCTGCTGCCATGTGATTTCTGACCTTGTCCACCCCAGTCCAACACCGGCAATTCCACATCGTGATTTTTCTTTGGCATTGGGATGATGGTGGACTTCTTGAAGCAGGTGGAAACACCACATCAGAATAAGGAGAGGTTAAAGATGGCAGCAAATACCCGCCAGCTGGTCCATACAGGATGTGGGTGCACAGCCAGGGACTCCGTCTGGGGCAGTCGCTTTCCGTGGGTTCATTCTCAAGATGGCCGATCTGATGGCTGTGGCAGTGACTGTAGGTACAGGTGCACACAAGCCTATTGGAGCAGGTAACATCATTTCACTGACGTTCTGTTCAAAACGAGCGTAGAATGTATTGAGCTCATTGGGGAGGGATGCAATGTTGCCAGCGATCCAACTCAACTTCCCTTGTAGCCTGTTATATTGTATAAGCCTTGCCACAGTCGATGTGTGTTTGTACGGTTAGTCTGCAACTCTAGTTTAGTATGATATTGGTTCTTGGCATCTCTAATGGCTTTGTGAAGGCCATGTCTAGGTCAGGGTCACCCGACTTGAACACCTCAGACCTGGGCTTCAATACAGAGTGGATCTCCTAGTTCATCCATGGTTTTCATTTGAGGAACACTTGGATTAGCTTCTTTGGCACGCGTCCTCGACACACTTACTGATGAAGTCTGCAACAGTAATGGCATCCTCATCTAGGTTGGCCGAGTTCTTGAATATGGACCATTCCACCAACTCCAAGATTAAGACAGAGCATTGTCTACATGGACTTTAGCAAGGCCTTCGACATGGTTCCGCATGGTAGACTGGTTAGTAAAGTTAGATCACATGGGATCCAGGGAGAGCTAACCAATTGAATGCAAAATTGGCTAGACTGTAGGAGACAGAGGGTGATGGTTGCGGGTTGTTGCTCAAACTGGAGGAGGCCTGTGACCAGCAGGGTGCCGCAAGGATCGGTGCTGGGCCCACTATCGTTTGTATAAGCAATTTGGATGAGAATATAGGGAGATGTGACTAGTAAGTTTGAGGATGACACAAAAATTGGTGATGAAGGCCATGAGTAAAATGGGATCTTGATCAACTGGGCCAGTGAACCAAGTAATGGCAGATGGAGTTTAATTACAGATAAATGTGAGGTGCTGCATTTTGGAAACACAAAACTGGGCAGGATTTACACAGTTAATGGTAAGGCCTTGGGGTGTGTTCTCAAACAGAGAGACCTAGGGGTACAGGTACCTTGTTCCTTGAAAGTGGCATCACAGATAGACAGTGTGGTGAAGGCGGCATTTGGCATGCTTGCCTCCATCGGTCAGAGCACTGAGCACAGGAGTTTGGACATCACGTCAGAGCTGTACAACACATTGATACGGCCACATTTGGGGTACTGCGCACAAATCTGGTTACTCTGCTATGGGAAGGATGTTATTAAACTGCGAAGGGTGCAAAAAACATTTACTAGGATGTTACTGAGGCTGGAAGGTTCGAATTATAATGAGAGACTAGATAGACTGCGACATTTCTCCCTGGAGTGTAGGAGGTTGAGGGTGACCTTATAGAGGCTTATAAAATCATAAGGGTTATAGATAAGGTGAAAAGCCAAGGTCTTTTCTCCAGGTTAGGGAAGTCCAAAACTAGAGGGCATAGGGTTAAGGGGAGAGAGGAAACATTTAAAAGGGACTTGAGGGGCTACTTTTTCCACACAGAGTGGTGCATGTTTGGAAATGAGCTCCAGAGGAACTGGTGGAAGCTGGTACAATTACAACATTTAAAAGACATTTGGGCAGGTACATGTAAAGGAAATTTAGAGGGATATGAGCCGAATGCAGGTAAATGGGACTAATTCAGTTGAGGAAACCTGGTCAGCACGGACAAGTTGGGCCAAAGGCCCTGTTTCCGTGCTGTATGACTCTACGGCTCTATATGTGCCTGTCATGAGATAAAGAGATATGTGCCTGGTGTAGGGCTGCACCTGGCCAAGTTCTCTCCAGGTCTTCTCTCTGCCACATTTCTCAGTTTCATCCTCATAGCATTGCCATGCTTGAAACAAAACACTTTTAACATATTCAATAGCACATAAAATAAAAAGTGCGAATGGAGGAAGGTATGAAATACATTTTCGATGTCACTCAACGATTGAAACATTTAAGAAACATCCACACATCTAAAAATAAGCAACTGTCAGCAAACAACAAAAGCCCTTAAAAACTTCAAAAGTACTGATTAACAAGTCTCTGTAAGCTGCAGGCCATTTTGCTCATCACCAGTTACATGCTTCCTAAACAACACCTAAACCCCTCAAAATCGTTTCATCGTCTCCTTACCATTACTAGTTCTTCTAATCAGATCTCATGTTGTTGTAAAATGCACATCTCTGACCTGCTCATGAAACAATCAACAGTGGGGTTAACTGACACATTGAAACTGGGTCAATGAACGGTTTAAGATGGAGAATAGTTAAAGAACATAGAATTATAGAATTTTACAGGACAGAGGAAGCCGTTAAGCCCATGATGTCTGTACTGGCTTCTGAAACAGCTAACCAACCAGTCCCGTTCTACAGCCCTATCTCCACAGTCCTCTAAGTTCGCCACTTTCAAATATATATATCCAGCTCTCTTTACAAACCTCCACCACTCTCACAGGTAGTGCAGTCTAAATCCTAACAACTCTCTGAATAAAGACATTTTTCCTCATCTCATTCCTAGCCTTCTTGCTGATAATCTTGAAATTGTAACCCCTGGTTACTGACATACCAATTAATGAAATCAGAATATCCTTTTTATCCTGTCAAAGTTATTCATAATATTGAACACCTCAATAAGGTCAGTCATTCCTTAATCTTCTCTGGTCCAAGGAGAATAAGCCCAATTTCTCTAATCTTTCCTTGTATCTAAAATCCCTCATTCCTAATATCATTCTAGTAAATCTCCTTTGAACTCTCTCTTGGGCTTTAGCATCCTTCCTTAAATAAGGTGCTCAGAATTGAACACAGTACACCAATAGTGCAGCATCACTTCCTTGCTTTCATATTCTATTCCTCTACCTTATAAACCCAAGGATCATGTTTGCATTCTTAACTGTTTCAACGTGCTTGGCCACCATCATGAAATTATACACTTGAACCCTGAGGCCTCTAGGATCCTATACTCCCCTCAATGTTGTACCACGGAGCCTGTATTGTCTCTCCATGTTTCTTCCACCAAAATGCACTACTTCACATTTCTCTGCATTGAAATTCATCTACCAGTCCATTTGGCCAACTTGCCAATTTCTCTCTAAAGTCACCGAACATATCCTCACAATTCACTATTCTCCCTAACTTTGCATCATATCCCATATTATGGCCTCCATTAGTTTTTCTACGACATGACTCAGAGCTGACGGTTAAGGGGGTAGGCCAGTGTTTCAAGCTAAATAATGGAAAATCACATTTTAAAAATGTTGCTAGCTTTTACTTGCTGGCACGAAATAATGACAGCTCTGCAGCAGACTCTGTGAATTGAAGAAAATGAGAGAAACAAGTGGTGCACGCCTGATGCAAGGTTGAAGATATATCTAAGTATTGATCTATTGGGTTGAAGCTTACGCTTTGACTTTCTCCAGTTGCTTTAGTCGTTCAGCAACGTGATACGCTAACTTTTCTCTGGGCACATTAAGCCTCAGGGCCCAGCGAGCAACTGTGTCTATATCTGTGTATCTTGCCAATAAGGTCACAAACTGCAGCCGAAGTTGGGGGTTATATCCCACGACAGCCTGGAAAAGAAATATTTACATATAGTCAAGACCCTCACAGCAGTGCACACAGAGCAAGAACCTGTTAACAGGGAGACCTCAGCAAATTGCTCCACATCTTGGGTATACATCTAACATGTAGCTTTTTAAAAGGAAGGGAATTGATTCAAGATGTTCTTAGAAACATTTATACCACCTGGACTGTAACACCTGAGGAACATAAAGAACCAATATTTAACACAGTGCTGCTAAAGAATACAGATTATCTAAGCACTGAGTGCAAATCTTATAGTGTTAGAGCACTTGAGGTAGTCAACATTTCATAGATTCATAGAAAATTTGCAAAGAGCAATGCAGTTGGTCCCACTCTGTCTGTCCCTTTCTTTCTGCATATTGCTGCAAATTTTTCTGAGTCCTTTCGGAATCCCCCATCCAAAGCAATTACAAATTATTTTTCCTTCACACTAGCCTGTTTGAATGTATTCCAATTCCTTCACACTCAATGTGAAAAAATGTTTTTCCTCCTGTTGTCTCCAGTACTTTTGTCAATATTCCTTTTTATCTTAATCAGTGGGCAGTTTCTCTTTGTAAGTTCATAATTTCAAATCTCCATCAAATCTCCTGTCATCCTCTCCACTTTAAAGAGAACAACAACTGCATCTCTGATCTGTCCACATGCTTGTTCCTGTAAAAATTCTCTTTTTCTTTCCCCATAGCCTCACCAAAGCCTTCACATTACTTTTAAATGAGGCATCCAGAATAGAACGTGAACAAACAGATTTAGAATAATCTTTTCAATCTACTTCTCTATTTATAAAGCCGAGTAACTCGATTTCTTTATTAATCACTGTATTAATGTGTCAACTTTGTAGCAGAACACTGTGAATGTGGGAAATAAAACAGAAAACACTGGAAATACTTAGGCGGTCAGACAGCATCCATGCAAGCTGGGAAAAATACCTTATTTCAAATCTGTAGAGGTATATTTCTTTCTTCTTGCCTTGCCTGCTGATTACTTCCAGCATTTTTCATCGACTTCAAAGACTCGTGCACAAACACCTCCACATCCAGACTATTTCAGACAGTTGCTCATTCTTCCTACCAAAAATTTTACTGCACATTTTTCTGTAGTAAATTTCATCTGTCAAGTGTCCACCCATTTACTCAATCTGTTTGTATCCCTACAAAGGCATTGACATCCTCACTTCTTTTCATTCATTCACTCAAAGTCTCGTTGGTCAAGGGGTATGATTCTTGCTTTGGGGATTGCACTTTGCAGACGTGTGACTGGTCCTGGGTTCAAATCCCAAGTGAGCTCTGCTTGCTCATCTTCAGTCGGGGCAGCACATTGGCACAGCGGTTAGCCAAGGTCCCAGGTTTGATTCCAGGCTAGGGCGGAATTTGCATATTGGAGTTTGGACGTGGAGTTTGCACTCTCTCCCAGTGTCTGCATGGGGTTCCTCCAGGTGCTCTGGTTTCCTCCCAGAGTCCAAAGATGTGTAGGTTACGTGGATTGGCCATGCTAAACTGCCCACAGTGTCCAGGGATATGTGGGCTACATGGATGAGCCATGGTAAATATTGGGTTATGGGAATAGGCGAGTCAAATGGGATACTTTTCACATGATCAGTGCAAACTCAATGGGCTGAATGGTCTTTCCACAGAGGGAATTTTGTTCTATTGATGGGATGTGAACGTTGTTGGCTAGGTCAGCATTTAATGTCCAGATGGCAGTTAAGAATTAACCACATTTCGGTCTGTCCGGGTAAGAATGGCATTTTCCTTCCCTAAACATTTCATTAGTCTCTTAATTCCAGATTTCTAATGAATTAAAATTCTACCATTTGTCATGATGGGATTCAAACTGGGATGCTCAGAACATTGCCTGGGTCTCTGGATTAATAGTCCAGTATTAATACCACTCGGCCATCAACTCTTCATGAGGGGAGATGAGGACTAACTGCACTTCCAGCTTTCCTGTCACCATGCTTTGATCATGTGCCCTGTACTTTGCTAACCCATTGTTTAACAAAACCAGGTCAGAAGTCTGACGATACCAAGTTATAGTCCAACAGGTTTATTTGAAATCACAAGCTTTCAAAGCGCTGCCCCTCTGACCTGGTCCACCCCAGTCCAACGCTGGCAACTCCACATCATAATAAAACCAGCCATAGTCAAAGTACTGCTCCTTTGAAATGCCATTGTACATCCCCTCTAGATCTGAAAAACAGCTATTCAACTCTGTCTTCTATGCCTCCACCATATTTATTTCTGTTGCTTCAGCCAATTTTATACCATACATTTCAATTTTGCCAATAGGTCCAACCTGTGATACTTCTGTGTCCATATACACAGCACAGCCCTCATACCAATCTTCTCAATTAACTCATCAAAAATCTCAAACAGGTTAGCCAAACACAACTTGTGCCAAATAAATCTATGAGATAGCAAGAACTACAGATGCTGGAGTCAGAGATAACATAGTGTGGAGCTGGAGGAACACAGCAGGCCAGGCAGCATCAGAGGAGCAGGAAAGCTGATGTTTCAGGTCAGGACCCTTCTTCAGAAATCTTAACACCACATAAATCTATGATGGCTTTCCTTTTAGTCCATACTTTCCAAGTATCTGGTATTTCTCCCCCAGATGATTTCAGAAAGATTAAAGGGGACATGAGGAAACCAACATGTTGGTCCACAGGGTGGTTAGTGTCTGGAATTCACTGCTGTTTTTGGTGGTTGAGAGAGAGATCCTCAACTCACTGAACCGTGACTGGATCTACATCTGAAGTGCCACAACCTGCAAGGCTACACAGCAGGTGCTGGAAAGGGGATTGGATTGGGGAGCTAGTTTATTCAGCTGGTACAGACATGATAGACTGGTAGGTCTCGTTCTGTGCTGTAACCTTTCCTTTGACTCTATGATTGCTCCTAAAACTTTCCTTATCACTGACATTAAGGTGGCCTGCAAGCGCCATGTTACCCTTCTCCCCTTTTGAACAAGGGTGTAGCATTTACACATTAGGTACACATCTGCATTTAAGATAGTTTGGAAAATTGTGACTAGTATCTCTGCACTTTTCGCCCTTCCTTCTCACCAAAATGGAAAAGCTTGGAAAAGCCCTGGGGAGAGAGATCTGGGTGTTCAGGACCATTGTACCCTGAAGGTGGCAACGCAGGTCGATAGAGTGATCAAGAAGGCATACGGCATGCTTTCATTCATCGGACGGGGTACTGAGTACAAGAGTTGGCAGGTCATGTTACAGTTATACAGGACTTTGGTTCGACCACATTTGGAATACGGCGTACAGTTCTGGTCGCCACATTACCAAAAGGATGTGGATGCTTTGGAGAGGGTGCAGAACAGGTTCACCAGGATGTTGCCTGGTATGGAGGGCGCTAACTATGAAGAGAGGTTGAGTAGATTAGGATTATTTCCATTAGAAAGACGGAGGTTGAGGGGGGACCTGATTGAGGTCTACAAAATCATGACAGGTATAGACAGGATGGATAGCGAGAAGGTTTTTCCCCAGAGTGGGGGTCTCAATTACTAGGGGTCACGATTTCAAGGTGAGAGGGGAAAAGTTTAAGGGAGATATGCGTGGAAAGTTCTTTACGCAGAGGGTTGTGGGTGCCTGGAACGCGTTGCCAGTGGAGGTGGTAGAGGCGGGCACGATAGCATCATTTAAGATGTATCTAGACAGATACATGAATGGGCAGGGAGCAGAGGGATACAGATCCTTGGGAAATAGGCCACAGGTTTAGATAGAGGACCTGGATCGGCGCAGGCTTGGAGGGCCGAAGGGCCTGTTCCTGTGCTGTAATTTTCTTTGTTCTTTGTAAAACAAAATCTAGGAAACATCCCACCTTCATCCAGTAACTTATCTGGTTTATGTGTGGCATACGTGCACCCAGACTGCTGTCAGGGAGAGAGCTCCAAGATTTTATTATTAAGGTGAAATCTGCCATCCCATTTTCTAACTCTTCATTGCCTCTCTCTTTGTCCCCTGTACCAATGCATCTGGACTGTATACAAACATTCTTTGAGCAAAAGCTGGTGCTCTGAAATAGAGCTATATCGGGCTAAAACGTTTACTCCATTTCTCTCTCCAAACATATGGGTTTCTCCAGAAACTTATGTTCTTCTCTTAAATGGTCTTCAAAGAATGTCCATTACTCCACTATATTTCCACCTGTCCGTTCTTGTCTGCAATTGATCTGAGATCCCTCCTCATTCCACTGAAATCAGTATTTCTCTTCCAGATTGCTGTCTATAAATACTCAATAAATAATCAATGCTAAGATCACTATTACCATGTGTTACGAAGTTGCGTAGAATACTCATAAATTGGAAGGCAGGAAGTCAGAATTTGTTTGTGAAAATGATAGTGGGCAAAAGTAGTTGTGGTCCCTTTAAAAGATTATACTTTCTGTGCTTGGAAGTTTGCAAGCACTGTACAAATAGCCCCAAACTGAAATAAGTGTATCAAAAGGCCTTACAGCTCGCAGGCAAAACAGCAGTCTTGTTTTGAAGTTTTGGCAAAAGCTAGACTCAGACAATTAATTTAAACCAAGCACTTAGCGAATGCGAGCCAATTGAATTTAAAACTGATGGTTTTGACAACGTGAAACCAATCATATTATAAGAAATTGATGTGTTATTAGGGGTATATGAGAAGGGGCTTTTTTTGAAAATCAGGATGAGAGCTTCCTGCCATCTGAAGCAAAAGCAACTCCGCCATCTGAGAAATAAACATAGCTCTCACACAGAATTGTTAAGCTCTCTTAAAACAAAAAGCAGTATCAAAGCACATCTAGCTAAAAGTCCTCTGAGAAGAAATTAGAGAAAACATCCCTGACAGCAGGATCAGCAGAAGAAAGGCTGGAGAGACAGTGGAAAAGGCAAATCATTCTGGAAGACACGTTGTGTGTGAACTTTGACAGACTAAGTTTTAATTTATTGTTTTCTTATTAGTTGGATTTATGTAAGTGGGACCTATGTCTATTGTAACATTAATATGATTAGAATCTTGTTTTATTAGGAAATAGTTAATAATTAGAGAGGAATTGTTCAAGTTGTTAGTAGTTGTGTTAATTTGTTCACTGTTAGGGTTAAATAAATAAATTGGTACTTGGTGCTTATAAAGGGAGTATCAGGGATTCCTTTCATTTAACTACTCCTTTAACAGATTACGAGGGGCAAGGCGAGCTTCTCTAGGTGTTTCGGGTTTAATTAGTAGAAGGGAACCTGTACTCCCACCATAACAGATTGGGGCTGGTGTTTTGGGTTAATTATCGGAGGCGTTCGACTTTGCCCTTCTCTGTAACACAAGACACTTCCCGACAGTCTCCTCCTGACCCACTTCATTCCTCAGGTACGAATCCAACAATGCCTCCCTCCTCCTTGGCCAGGAAACATACAAATTGAGAAAATATTTCTGAACACATTTCAGAAGTCCTTCACTTTTCCTGCTCTTAACATGATCAATGTCCCATTCAACAATGGAATAACTTAAATCTTCCATTATCATTGCATCAGACTGGCTCAAAACAACAAAACTCTATCACATAAAATCAAAGCCAATCCGATATATGTTGTCAAAATACTCAAAAGCTGTACAAGATCTAATAGGAAAATCCACCGAAGACAGGACACAAACCTCAATGTGTTCTGACCAGTTCTCTTCGCTCATGCTTCTCTGTGAGGAATAAGAACATAATGTTAGAAAAGTCAACACATGGACCTCTGCCTCCCTCCACATTGCCCTCCATCCACAGTTCACAGTCACATCACTATTAATCCCACTACCATTCATTGTCACCATATGAATTAACAAGTTCTGCTGTAGGATTCCCCAATGGCCTGTGGGAAAAGTCATCACTACGTGTACAAAGGGAGCATGTGGTTGTATAAGGCAAACAGAACCTTTCAGGGTTAAGCTGCCAATTTGTCACATTGTTGATTCCAATCAGATAAGTTGGTACAATTAGATAAGGAAAGTGTAATGAAGTAAAGATCCTGTTGTTTTTGGAAAATATGCACAGTTGAGAAAGGCAGCGTGAGCATTGCAGCCAAATAAATCTGACCACACTGTGTACATTCTCAGAAAAAGCCAGTGCAGCATGTAACTGCATGTTGTTCAGAGTCCAGGATTTAGGGGAGACAGAGGAACACGAAAGTTCAATATGTAGGAAAAAGGCAGAAGCTAGGGAAGGCCAGACAGAGAGAGGGCAGAGTGGATGCCCAGTTGGTTGCTAACAGATGGGGCTGCTGTTTCAATCACAACCAGAACTGTCCTTACCATTGTTCAGTTCAGAGGGTAAACTGAGATCCTGGAAGCTTCAAACATTTGATGCCACCCTTCAGCCAATCCGTAGCCCACACAAAAATGAATGGGACTTACCTCCATAAAGCGTTTATACAAGAGGTATTTGATGGAAGCCACTAGGCGCTGGTTCACGACATTTGGGCAGAACTCTGTGGACAGCAAGAACATTAAATTCTTTCAGCACATCCCTCAAAATGCTTCTGCTCGTCTCCCTTTCCTTCCTACAGCCCTTGGCTTTTAATGGGGTACTGGCCATAGCAAGAATCACTGTTCATCATCTAGACACATCCCATAAATGTGATCCAGGCAAGGAGTTGCAACATCTCTTCATCGAGAGGGGCATCAGTGCAGAGGCCATACCTGTCTGGCTCTCAATCAACACAAACCCATCAGCATGGCTAGCGGATGGTGATCAGCAATACCTTTCACATTAAAGATACAGATCACCATCTCAAACAGTAGAGCACTCAGGGTGGAAAGACGCAGATAACGCACCCTCCGATGTCTTTCAGAACCCTGCTCCCTCAAATATGCCACTACTTCTCCTTTCCATGTCACTACATTCCCCGCCTCTCTCCCCACCCCAATCTGCTCCATGGAACCCATCTGTATCCGCTTTCTTTGAATATCATCTCCCCCCCTCTAAAGCTCATGGAAATTCATTCAGATTCAATAAATCAATTCCCCTCTCGGCCTCAGTCATTTGTTAATCCTGCCTGTCACTTGATTATTTGTATGTACAAAATGGATAAGCCAAAAAGGAAGCCCTGATTCCATAGAATTCCCTTTAGCCTGAAAAATGTAACTACCACGAACCGTTTTGTCACACTTCTATTATCTGCCTAGCCTGATGCAATAACTGTGAGGGCAATGTGTCACCATTAGTCACAGATCGTAACTACAACCAAGCAGACTTAAATCAAAACCTTTTGTGATAAATACAGAAGAATTTGGAATGTCAAAGTAGTGCACAAAAATTTGGACAGAACAAGACTTTAACTTAAGTCTGGTGTCTGTGTTGACTGGTCTAAGTCTGAACCCATCCAGGACCCAGCATTACAGAGCCTTCAGCCAGCACTCCGCATGCAATGCCACAGATTAGTTTCTAAACACAGTGTATTTCTAAACACATAGCAAAATGTCCCAATTTTCATTCCTTGGGACAAAGTCTACACTCAATTTGTAAAACATGGGAGTACCCCCACCTCTCCAAACGGTTCCTTTAGAGAGGACGTCAGGCGACTCTGAGCTAGGGAATGGTCAGTACTCACAATTTCACCCGAATGATCATGCTTCATTGCAGGAGAGAATAGTGACATTTCACAGAAAATCCAACAACTATCAACCCTATTAGTGTCGCAAGGGCATGCACATGCTCCATCCGGGCTCCTGGACAGTGACCAGGGATACCAACTCCAGGTCTATTTCTCCATCCTAACGTAAGAATACTTAGGTAAACAGAAGCACTCAGAGCACCCGAGTTGCTGCTCAGGGTGGACTGCCTCGTGTATCTGCTGGGGGCAAAGCGCCTCATGTATCTGCCTGCCCTGTGTACCCGCCTGAGACAGAGCACCCCATGAATCTGCCTGAGACGGAACGCCCCGTGTACCTGCCTGTCCTGTGTACCTGCCTGGGGTGGGGCATCCCATGTAACTGCCTGGGGCAGAGTGTTCCATGTATGTGTGGAACAGAGGGCCCCTTGAACCTGTGCAAAATGGAGAATCTGTATAGAAGTTGAATCTGTAAACAGAGAAATCGTAATAAGGTTGTCTTGACAAAATCTAAAATGTCTCGCTGACAAGGCTGAAAGCCCTGAAAGGACAGATAGTTACCCACCTGTTTGATACAATACAGAGCAATGGAGAAATATTACTTCATTTTTGTAGTAACTTTCATAATAATTAACATAGAAACATAGAAGATAGGAGCAGGAGGAGGCCATTCTGCCCTTCAAGCCATCTCTGACATTCATCACGATCATGGCTGATTGTCCAACTCAATAGCCTAGTCCTGCTTTCCCCCCATAACCTTTGATCCCATTTGCCCCAACCGCTATATCTAGCTGCCTCTTGAATACATTCAATGTTTCAGCATCAACTACTTCCTGTGGTAATGAATTCCACAGGCTCACCACTGTTTGGGTGAAGAAATGTCTCCTTATCTCTGTCCTAAATGGTCTACCCCAAGTCTCCAGACCTCCAGACCTCCAGACCTCCAGACCTCCAGACCTCCAGA